TGGCACATTTGTGCTGCGAAATGTCAGTCAGTTCTTGGGCGATGTGATTTAGAGCCCGTTAAAGCAGGCTGGCGTGCTCCTTGTGCGTCCCAGCTGGGCTCTGGGGGAGCGGTTGTGTCGGGGTGCTGGGCTGGGAACAGGCTGCATGGCTCAGGGCTTCCACCTCGCAGGATTTTTCTGAGCTGGTGTCGATGCAGGAGCTCTGGATGGTGCGTTGCGTTGAGAGCACTCAGCTGGAAGGAAACGGGGCAGAATCTACAAGAGGCAGCGCTGGCGTGCCTTGCAGCGGCTGCGGAGGTGAGCCGAGCCAGCTGGGTGCTAAGATGTGAGCTTAAGCACCCTCCGTGTGGTTTGGGTGGGAAGATGCGTGCTGAAACGCCTGTTCCTGCAATCTTGACTGTTTCTTCTCATTTTTGTCGGGGTGATATCAGCGATGCAATGAAGACCGTGATGCTCTTTGTTCTATTTGGGCATTTTCAAAGGGCACATAACCCTGAGATGCTCTAAAATCCCTGTATTTTTTACGGGATTGGCTTCTGTCGCCTGCAGAGGCGCCTGAATTTGTGGCCTGCAGTGCATCTTGAGCTTTAATAAGCAAAAAACTGTTCCGCTGTCGACGTTACCGTTCTCACCACTTGGTGGCCTGAAAGCAACTTCTCGGGTTTTTTGAGCACTGTGGGTGCTTGTTCAACAGCTTGGTTTTGCACAGGTAATCGTGGGCTCTACTCTCACTGCCCGGAGCCTCAGGCGGTTGCTCACCTCCAGCAGAGGTTTGTACAGAGCTCGTTGTGCTGCAGTATTGATCGGGGTGGGCAGCAAACCTCGGTGCAAGTTGGACCCTGCACCTGCAGACTGGCCCTGCCCGCAGGGATCGATCCCTACGCTGGGGACAGACGAGGACGAGCCGCGGGCTGTGCAGCGGGGCTGAGGCTGCGTGAACCTCGGCCGTCCCCATGGCTGCCTCCGCAAGCGGGGATCGGCGCTTTCTCCATGCTTGCTGCTTTCTTTCCAGGGTTGCTCATCGACCTCTTTGGTGATCATTTTAAAATTTGTTCTTCAGCTCTCGCTCCAGAAGCTGAGGTGGCGAAACAACCCTGTATGTTGCATGCCAGCAGCCCGTCCCTCCCCGTTTCTCGCCCTCAGCTCCCGCCGGCTCTTCCCAGCTTTTCTCTCCTGGGCTTGTTTTACCGCTCTCCCGCCTGCTGCTGCCTCCTTACAACAGGGGCGTCTCGGTGTTGTGGCAGGAGATGCCTTGGAGTCATCGGGTGTTTTGAAACACATGTCACGAGTTGCCACCAGGAGGGACCGTGAGAAGCTCCCCTGCCTTCGGCGCTGGCAGTCTGAGCTCAGGTTGGGCAAGCTGCGTTTCTTTTTGTGTGCCTTGTGTGAGTTAGCTGGAGGCTGTCACTTAACTAATTACGTTTTGCTGATTGGTAAAGATGCAAGCTAGACACATTAGGATGTTTCTTGCTGACCACAGCTTCTGCTGCTGTTCCACCACAAAGACGTCTGCAGTTTGTCATCCTTTTATTAAGCACCAGCGATATGAGTTAAGATTTTCCAGGCCACACCTAAATCTTGGGGGGAGGTGGCAGTTAATGGCAATTATTTCTGGGAATGGTTTGAAGAATAATGCGTTTTTTGGCCATATGGAGCTTCCTGTGGGAACTGGTTTTGCTATTTGTTTGTAACGCTTTGCTGCTTTAAAAAGAAAACAGAACTGAGACATTGCTTCGTGGTCGTGTGCAGCTCCCTGGCCCTGAGGCTGGGCTGTGGCTGCTCCCCTGCACTGCCGGCTCTTCACCTGTTTCACAACCGCGGGCGAAGGAGGACGCGGGGGCTGCGGTCAGTCAGTGCTTGGCCACGGCGCCCGCCCGGCCGGCAGAGCAGCACTGCGGTGGCACGCTGCGCGGCATCAGGAAGGAAGCCTGCAAGCGCGTGTGTGTGTCTGTGTGTCTGTCTGTGCGCGCACAGGCCAGAGCTGGAGCCATTTTCCGGAGCGGGGTGTCTCAGTGCTGTGAAACTGCTGCGGCTCCAGGCACAAGATTGTTTGTGGCGCCGCAGAAGTGCATCTGGCGATGCGGCTGCTGCACCGCAGACGTGCAGGTCCAGATTTCAGCCTCCTCTGGACCTGAAGTCTCATCGTCGGTGGAGGCCAGGCCAGGGCAAGCAGAAAGCTTTTCAGGGAAGGAAGGCGATGCGTGCACTGCGGATAAGCTCTTGCAGAGTTCACGCTGGGAGGAGTTTCCCTCTGGTTTCTCATTAGTGCTGAGGCGGAGGGGATGCGTGACGTTCGGTGACAGCTGGGCAGGAGAGGAGGAGACTCTGGGTGGCTGGAATAACAATTAAGTGCCTGTACTTGAGATGTTCTCAAAAAGCCCCTCAAACGGGAGCTCCTGGCAGCGTGAGCAGCTCTGCGCAGAGGTTGGTAGCCCCATGACCCTGCCTGGAGGCACCAGCATGACCTGTGAGTCTTCTGAGCCCCATCTCCTTTTGCTTTCACTGGTTTGGGTGCTCTGACTTTGCCTGATCACAGTGTTTGTGCCAAAGGCTGCAGCAGGCGAGCCTGCAGCCGTTTCCTTTGGGACAGGCTGCCGCGCTGGTCGCTTGTGCGCGATGGAAGCGTGCCATGCTCGCATGGTTGTCCCTCGCTTTTGGACATCCCAGCTGCTCCTGTCCCCATGAGGCTTTGTTTCCTAAAAGAGCAGCTGCCGTCCCCCTTCCGTGGTTTCTCATTCTGATGCCTTGGTGGCTGAGCCGCAGGTGTGCCATGTCTGCTGCCGGGACCACCCTTCCCCTAGGCTCATGGGGAGGCTGCGGGCAGGAGGGGTGCGGGAGCATGGAGAAGGTGCCAGGCCTGCAGATGTCTGCAGTAAATAAACAAATCGACATTCTTGGCTTTTCTTCCCCATTAGGTATTTTCGCGAAAAACCACCTGTGATTCAGCATGAAGCTCGGCTAGCAGCAAAATGAACTCACCCGGGGAAGGTAAGCACGTACAGACAGCACAGGCCAGAGCAGCTCATCCCCCTGTGAGGCTGGCTGTGGGCTGGTGAATATTTCCTATGTCTGTGCACGCTGCCACCGATACCCGTTGATATTGTCTTGCCTTTGTGAGCTGACAAGAAACGGTTTATTTAAGCTTCATTTATACTAATGTCCGACCAGCTTGCAAAGTAAGGAAGACTTTCTGCGTGCACGGGCCTCCTGAGTCCTTGTCTGTCACTTCCCCACCAGCTTCCATCCTTCCCCGTGCTCTGCTCTGATGGCAGTCGGAGACAAACCCCCTGGCTGTGGGTCACAGACCATCCCTGCACCATCCAAGCTGCACTTGGGGGCTTCAGCCTGGCGTTGGCTGCTGGCACTTTGGTGTCAGCTCCCTGGCACCAGCTGCAGTGATTTTTCAGTCCCTGCCAGGGAAGCATCTCTGAGAGATCCCCAATTCCGGCTGGAGTGGCAAGCTCTCAGAGCCAGCCTGGGCTTCTGAAGGACTGGAAGGCGCTCTCTGATCAGACAGCCGTGCTGCCTGGTTGTGCCATATTTTCCACCGGAATATCTGCTATAGAGGAAACAATCCATCCCTCTTCTCCTATAGACTAATAAGACCCATAGATTTTTTGGGGGAAATTCTTAGCAGAGAATTCCACAACAGAGTTGAAAGTAAGCCGGAACTGTTGCTGTTGCTCAGCACGACGCCAGGCACGCTCATGGGGGCTTTCTCAGCCCGCCCGGGCATACCGGGTCAGTCCCACTGGAGAAATTCATCCCACTTGAGCCCTGTCAGTGCCCGTGGCTGCCATGCAGGAGACGGAGCGGGGACGAGCCCTAACAGCACCCACCTCTCTGCCCTTCCTGTTGCCCCACAACCCAGCGAGAGCCTCCCCAGGCTGGCTGGGCTGCCATGGGGGCTGAAGTGAGCGAGTCCCTTTGTTCTCCTCTTGCTGGGCTCTCTGGGAGCATCTCGGTGGGAAAGGCTTGCTGTTTTTTTCACGAAGAACAGAGCATTTCTGTGCTCCCAGCCTCCTTTTTTAAACTGCGGGTCTTTCCTGCTAATTAGCCCGTCTTGGTCTGCCTAGCGGTAATTATTCGAGTTGGCCTTAAATCCTGACTGCTCCTGACGACCACACATTCAAATGGGTCTTGCTGTCTTGCTGCATTTGCAATTATTTTTAGGGTGAGCATTTGAATGTATTTACATGACTGCAACAGATCAAGATAGCATTAAGGAGCACTTGTCTTTCTAATGGGTCTGACTCTGCGCTTGGTGCTGCAAAAATGCCAGAGCTGTTTGTTGTTCCCTCTGATTTACATCTAAACAAATGGGCCAGCATTTGACTTTTGACTTCTAGGCTTGCATTTGAAACTGTTTAACCTTGGTGTGTTAACCAAGCTGCTAGCCAGGATGTTGACCATGGTGCTAAGGAGCCCCAAAAATAATTTTGGGGATGGTGTTATTTTGCTGCTGGGATGGGGAAGCACATACCTGGGTGCTGCCTCTCTGCACCACGGCAATCCAGTGGTGTGAGCAGAAGTGGGTAAAAGCACTGCAGAGCGGCTTTGCACGGGCCGCTGCTAAATGTGCTCTTTCATGGAGAGAGTCAAGAGGAGAACATGTTTTTTCTGAAGCAGTTCTTTGGACTGCCAGCAAAACAAAATGCACGGACGTCCAGTTCCCTCCGCTCCATTCAGCTCCCACCCCAGCCACATAATCACAAACAACTCGAAATCCCTGGGTGAGCCCAGGGGAGGATTGCAAAACCTGCGCTCACAAATGGAGCAGAAGGGGGCAGGGTGTGGGGAGCGGTGCCAGCGCTCACAGGAATCGCTCCCGGGTAGGCAGCAGAGCAGGGCACTTGCAGAAACTGCAGGCTTCCTGCTGGATATCCTACCAGGTTGTAGAACCCCCCCAAAAGCCTTAATGCCAGATAAAGTCCTTTTTTCCTCTTATTTCAGCTTTCCCCCCTCCTCTGTGACAGCACGCTGAAGCTAAAGAAGTGTAGGAAGGGGGCAGGTGGCTGAGAGAAGTGGGGAGACAGTGGTGTGCTGAGCTACGTTTTGGAAGGAATGAGAACTGCAGGGAGTGTTTGGGCTTTTGTCTGGGATGGAGCAGACTTTCTGTTAAGAAATTTTTTTTTGAGGACTGGCTGGGCACACGTGACCTCTCCTCTCCAAAACATTCCTGGAGCTTTGCTCCAGTTGTAAACCTGCCTTTCTGGGTACACAGACAGTCCAGAAATAATCTCTATGGGTGTGCTCTGAGACAAACTTTAATTACCTTCTGGGTAGGAGACACCTAGCCTGGCAGATAAGTGAAGGAGATGATGAAAGCCTGGGCTGGTGTCAGCACCCCACAGAACGCCGAGGTGCCGCCAGGCTGGATCGTGGCTCCTCTCCCCTGACCGCGTTGTGTTTGTCTTGCAGATGCCCGTCGGGTTGAACTCGTGCTAGCTGAAAGCTGAAGCGTGGTCCCCAGCCTGTGTGGAGGGGAACAGGATGCGGGTCACCATGAGGAGGGTGTTGCTGGTGGTGGGCTCGGTGGTCGCCCTGATGGTGACTCTGCACCTCGGCCAGCAGGTCCTGGAGTGCCAGCAGGTCCTGAGCGAGAGGAGGCACAGGCTGATGAGACCCGAGAATGAGGAGCTGGTCATGATGGACTCCAACCACGTGGAGTACCGTTACAGCAAGGAGATGCCCCTGATATTCATCGGCGGGGTCCCACGGAGCGGCACGACTCTGATGAGGGCCATGCTCGACGCCCACCCCGAGGTGCGCTGCGGGGAGGAGACCCGCATCATCCCCCGCGTGCTGGCCATGCGGCAGGCCTGGTCCAAGTCGGGGCGAGAGAAGATGCGCCTGGACGTGGCGGGGGTGACGGACCAAGTGCTGGACGCAGCCATGCAGGCCTTTATCCTGGAAGTGATCGCCAAGCACGGGGAGCCGGCCAGGTATTTGTGCAACAAGGACCCCTTCACGCTGAAGTCCTCCGTCTACCTGTCCCGGCTGTTCCCCAATTCCAAATTCCTCCTGATGGTTCGAGACGGCCGAGCTTCCGTCCACTCCATGATCACGCGGAAAGTGACGATCGCGGGCTTCGACCTGAACAGCTACCGGGACTGCCTGACCAAGTGGAACAAAGCCATCGAGGTGATGTACTCCCAGTGCTTGGAGATCGGGCGGGCTCGCTGCCTGCCCGTCTACTACGAGCAGCTGGTGCTGCACCCCGAGCAGTCCATGCACGCCATCATGAAGTTCCTGGACATCTCCTGGAGCGACACGGTGCTGCACCACGAGGAGCTCATAGGGAAGCCTGGCGGGGTTTCGCTTTCCAAGTGAGTGTCGTTGCGTGCATTTGTGCTCTTTCAGGGGCAGAACTGGCAGCATATCCAGTTTTGCTGCAGGAGGTTTTGCATTTTGGAGTAGAAAACGACTTGAATACTTGCAATCTGTTGTACCCCACAGAGCGGTTTGTCAGGCGACAATTTTAGAAGTGGGTGACTGTTTTATGCATCTGTCTTGACAGTGCAGAAATGATGCTGGTCTCTAATTTGAAAAGGACTGCTTGCTCTTCGGTGCTTCTTTTCTCCACCCGTCCTCAAATACCTCCCTTCCATGATTAAGTTTTGCTGCTAACGAATGCCTTTCTGCTGTAAGCAGCAACTCTTGCCATGTTTAGTGCAGGTATTACAGAATAAAAGAAATACCTAATCCGTGAAGACACACCCCAGCACTCCCTCCTTGCTGGCTGCCAGCCTCTGGGTGCCAGGGGGCTGCTCACCTTCTCTCACCTTCTTCTCTTTTAATGCTCTTTATCTCCTAAATAAGTCTAACTTAGCAAACTGCTTAAACAGCTGAGTTTTTGGATTTTCAGTGGGGATGCGTGGTGTATCTGTGCTACAGACCACACGTCTTCCACTGTTATCCTGTCATAAGCAGAAATGTCCTGCCAGCACACCGTCCCACCTGCAGGATTGGTCCCTCCGTGCAGTGGGACCCAGTCTCTGGAGCTGCAGAAACCCCTGCCAGAGTCTGCTGCCCCAGAGCAGGGATGGGGCTGCCCTGCTGTGCCTCCTGCTCTTTCTGCCCCAGGAGGACCCGGTGGGTGCTGAGTGTTTGTGCTGCAGGTGTTTCTTGGGCACTGGAAGCAAAACATTGAGGTGGCAGTGAACCTAGCTGGACATTCTGTCTGAGCCTGGTATGTGTGTGAACTCCAACTTCAGCATCTTAGGTTTTGGCGTTTATTTTTTTTCTTTCTTTTGTTATTTTCCCCCAGGATAGAAAGGTCAACAGACCAAGTTATCAAGCCGGTAAACTTGGAGGCATTATCTAAATGGATCGGGCACATCCCGGGGGATGTGCTGCAGGACATGGCCCACATCGCACCGATGCTCGCCCGGCTCGGCTACGACCCCTACGCCAACCCCCCCAACTACGGCCACCCCGACCCCTTGGTCGTCAACAACACGCACAGGGTGAGCATTGCTGCCGCAGGGCCCTGGGTCTCTGCACCCGCTGAGCCCACTGGAACAAGAAGGGGTTGTTAAACCGAATCACGAAAGAACAGGGGAATCACAGAATCACAGAATCACAGAATGTTCAGGGTTGGAAAGGACCTCGAAAGATCACTTAGTCCAACCCCCCTGCCAGAGCAGGGTAGGTCACACGGGAACGTGGGCAGGCAGGAAACAAACAGTCTTCTTTTTGGGAGACGGAGCGACAGAACCACAGTTCCACTGGGCTGGTTTCAGAGCAGATGCGGGTGGTAGGTTGAGCCTGGCTTGGCTCAAGCTGCTGACGGTCCCTGTGATTTTGTGGCGGTGTTCATTTCTGCTGTTGTGGCAGATACTGATCCGTCCCTCTCCGATCCAGCCCCGCTCTCGAGCCCAGGAGTCACTGGCATGTGCTGATGTTACCGCGGGCTCTGGCCCCGGAGGACGCGCGGGGTGTGCCGTGTCCCTGGGCAGCCCAGCGGCCGCTCCCGCCATCCCACAGGGAATGCGAGTGGAGGCTTGTAATGGATTCGGGCAAAACCAGAAGATTGTTACTTTTTTTTTTTTTTTAGAATATTGACTCATGTTCCTGGAGCAGAACTGGAAGGAAGAAGCTGGCGAGCCACAGACAGCAGTTATTAAACACAGGCAGTTTCTCATGCTTTGGGCTGGGATGGTTCCTCCCTGGTCTGTGCTCCGGTCTCTTACAGCTCCTCCTTGCTCTCGCTGCTTGCTGAGAGCTGCTCCAGGACACGGGTGATCTGGGTGAACATCTGCCCTTGGAAGGGTTAGGGACTCTTTGAGTCTCTGATACTGACCTTTCTGTACTTTTTGGCTTGAATTTGGAGATCTGGCACGATAGTAAAGACCGAAATACTGTCCCCTCCCAGGCTTAGCATGGGGGGGTGACCAGAGAATTGCATGTGTTGGGTTGCCACTCCCTGTCTTTGCTTACAGTTCCAAAGGAGGAAACCTCCTGCTTTTGCCCCAAGATAGCACCTTGATGTAGAGCAGACACCTGTCAGGGTATTTCAGCTGGTTCAGGGACACTGGAATGCAGGACGCAGTTAATGAGGGGGACTCATTGGTGTTCAGAGAGCCACTAGCCCAGAAGGGTCACTCCAATTTTTCTTTTCCACAGGTTTTAAAGGGGGATTATAAAACGCCAGCCAATTTGAAAGGTCATCTGCAGGTAAGAGTCTGATGTGCCCTTGAGTGTTTTGCCCTCTTGGGTTAATCCTGGGTGCCTGGTCCCTTGCTCCCTCTTACGGGCGTTTTGGGCTGGGCAGGCAGCTGTGGGACCACTTTACCTTTTAAAGCTTTTGTTGCCCCTGGGTCTTGCCTTAGGAAAGGGTGCCTTGTCTGATTGCCAGGTTACAGACAGGTGTTCTAGTTCCTGCACTTGGGTGATTGTGTCCAGGTGTCAAAGCTACACTATAGGGCTCCCTCCCTGAAGAGCAGCGCTTGAAAACAATTAATAACCATCTTTTGAAATGCAGAGCAGTCCAAGAGCCATTGCACATGTGGACTTAAAAACAGCAAAAAACCCACAAGTGGGTGCTGTTCGCTGCTGGCAGTTCCTGGGTGGCCACCCCAGGGTGTCTCGTGTTGCATGGACAGTAGCAAAGCGAGAGGCTGCAGCCTCGTGGCTGCCAGTGCTCTGCCCTCCTGCTGCTTTCTGTGTCCTAAACATTTCCTTTTGTTGCTGCTGGGAGCACAGCGGGAATGTTTTGAGGTGCAGATGGCAGCTTAAAGCTGACCCTCCTGTTTCTGGGTTATTCTAGGTGACTCAGAACACATCATCTTCTCACTAAGAAAATTAATGATTTCCAGGTAAGACCTTGTACTTCATTTTGGGACCTGGGCAAATCCGCCTGCTTTGCTCCAGAGGCAGTGTTTTGCTTGCGTAATTTCTTGTGCCTGTGGATTAGCCAGCCTGCTCCAGGCACCCTCATTAGGGAAATTATCCCCTTCACGGTTGCTTTGGGTTTTCAGAACAATACTGTTATGTACGTGATTTGTCAGAAATTCTTCTTCCGAGCTCTGTAAACAGGCTTACTCCAGCAAAACCGAATCAGCCGTTTGGGAGAGCTATTGCTGCCTGTCCCCACGGGGAGCATTGAAAGGGGATGTGGAAATGTGTCGATGAGCCGAGCTGCAGCCCAGCTGTCTTCTAGGACATGCTGTGGCCCCGTGGAAGGGAAGATAAAGCAGCCGCATCTGCTGTTGGTTTGGAAAAACAAAGCCACCACCCTGGGTCTCTGCTCCAGATACAGCTGTTGATATGCTGGTTCTTTTTCTGTCTCTCTCTTTCAGCTATCCTCTACGCTAAGACACAAAATGTCCCTTTAAAAACTAAAAGTGACCCTTTAAAAACTAGTTTCTATGTAAAAGCAGTGCATTAGGCTGAAAAAACGCAAAGAAAATGAAGTGTTGAGTGATGATAGGAGCTGTGACCATCATCCCAGAGCTGGGACTGGGTTTCTCTCACTGTTTTTTTTGGTTTTGCACGGTGGCTGCTTTAGAAGCGTGGGTCGGGCGCCTGCTGTGCACTCCTCAGCAAGTGTGTTCTCTCTTCCAGAATGCTGCAAATGGCCTCTTGTTCTCCGACAAAGAAGAGTTTGCAACGGGCACCAGTGGAAATCGGTTATCCAAGCATATTGCTTGCTAAATACTATTGCCAAAACGACTGCTCTACGAGGAATGTATTTGCATTTCTTTGCAAAGGCCAAACGTTTTACCCGGACGCCCCTCGGACGCCCCTCGTCATGGCACCCCACGGGCCCAGCATCAGCGGGAGCCCC